GTTGCATCTGGATATGTAGTCTAGGTTACAGTCAGCTCCTAGTATTCTTAGTATAAAGCGGCGTTATGATCCCTCGATTTTCAGTTTGAACCTTATACGAAGGCCATATAAGATGAATGGACAGTATTCCGAAATTGGACGGACGCATACTTTGTAGAGTAACGCCCCTGATTCGGTATCATAAAAGAAAGCTACGGATGATGCACCCAAGGATTCTACGCGATTTAGATCCGATACAGGCTGTTTCTTCAGAGAATGATGTTTCACTGGAGTATCTAAGATCAGGATCTATCACTGAAGAACATCTAGATAGCTTTCGTCTACATACCTCGAGAGGCAGGTCGAGGTTATCGCTGCATATGCCAAGCCAACCAAATTTATCAACGTTGAGCTCGAGACGTGACTCGTCACACCATTTAGCAACTTTACCTAATTCTTTTGAGCAGCAGATAGAGTATTGTTTAGTTCATGAGTGTGACGTGAGTAGACAACCTTCAGACTAGCGGCGTATAGGAATGTTTCCCATGGAGTGAAGCACTTACGCACACTACCAATATAACTTTTAGACAACAATGGCCGAAGGACACTACCTTGTATAACTCCACTAGTTATGTGCCTAGGTTTAGACTGCATAGAGTTTGCTTTGATGATTTGACCACAACCACCAAGAAATGATTTCAGTCAGTGAAGTAACGGGCCATGAATGCCGATTGATTGTAGCTGGTCAAAAAGTTTACCGTGTGGCACCTTGTCAAATGCCTTTAATATATCGAAGTATAGAAGGATAACGATTAACGTGCCTCACGGATGCCAGTGAAAGAGTTGAAGAAATCGAAGTGACAAGTAACGCAAGACCTGTTTTTAATGAAACCGTGCTGAAACCTTGTAATGAGGTTTTCTCTAAGTAGGCAGTCAGAGATGCTGCTCTTTCCATGATTCGAGGGACAACCGGCATGATGTTCTTAGGGTATAATTCCATATTGGATTTTTTATTCGTTACATAGCTCACGTAACTGCATTATTTACTTGATGACGTATTGAGGATCAAGTATTGCTCTTAATCATAGCAACATAATCACTTTCCTTTCGATGTTTGTTTTCGATTCTCATGCCACCTGATATTATTTTTTTTCATCAATAGAGGAATTTTCGGTATCGCTTCCATAGAGGCTACGTCATTTCTGTCGCATGCATCGGGTGTAGATTCGATGAGCAAAGCCTTATTAATCAATTTGTTTTATTCTCCAACCGATTAAATTGCACTTAAGCAGAGTGGTTTCATCCCACCCTACTGAGTGGTTTTGTCTTAGTGCATGCACTGCAGCAATAACGATAATGAAAAATAATAATAATTCATTCTTGCAAACACAAGTACACACCAATTTACAGGCGTCATTGTATACTTATGCCACTTTGACGCTTTTGGCTGGTAAAGTTTCACTGCTCAGAGATAACTGGCAGGTTTATATAGGTGGAATTAATGTACAGAACAAAATGGGATAATGGATATCCAAGGTTTTTACACACAACAGTTTTAACTAGGATGAATTTCTTTTGCATTTTCCAAAGGAAAGAAACATAAACATTTGCCACATACCTTGTTTGAAATAATTCATTTTAAAGACAGAGAGATCATAAAGATGCACACCATATAACTTATCAAAGATTTTCTGAATAATTGTGTGTCATAGGCTCGAGGCAGGAGAATATCTACATTATGGTAATGGTCTGGTTAGACTTTGCAGTGAGTAAGAATTCATTAAATCGAGTCTTCGGGCACTCGAATGCATTACCAGTGGAGGTGGTCCCCGCCCCCATCTGTTGAGAGTTTCAAAGAAATTCTAGACAGTCGCACATAGACCCATGGTCTACACATTTGTAGCTGGAATGCGAACTAAACAGATTAAATCAACTGCTGTCATGCCATTGCAACACTGTTACCTCTACACCAGTTTTCTTTCTACCGTAATCGTTTTCAGCCCTTTTCATCCCTTCCGCTTGCTACGGAATAGCCACACCTAGGCAACTCCCTGACATCCTTGCACCACACTCGCCACTCCTCTTGATTATTTGAACTTGTACTGAGTGAAGTAATAGACGCCGGCTGGATTAAGGGATTTATGTTTGAAATTCGCAAATGATTCGCTAACCAGTCTCACCAATCTAAAGGGGATTGTGGCCTACCGTTCCACGGTGTAGCATAGAGGCCATATCCCTTGATGGCTGCAAGTGTTTATTCAAAAAATACGTCAACTTGTGTATCCTAGTACCACTTTTGGGGGCAGAGATTTTGCCGTTTACTGCGTGTCCTGCACGTAATGTCTTAGTAGACTCGTAGATTTCATAAACTGAGTCCAGTGTCTTGAAGACCTTCTATGAGTGGCATCGTGATGATAATTTTCTAAGTTTATTAAGGAATATTTCAGGGATGTATTGGTCTTTGTCCCTATACGCCTTACCGTTTTCACAGAAGCAGCAGTTTCTAGACATAACTCCATATTTCCGCATTAAATTGGAACTGTGTCTGTTTATGTGGCTGTGGTAATGTAGTCATCCAGTGAAGTGCACCTGGGGAGCTCGATGAGTACTTCCCATTCTGCATTCTTGTAGCCTCAATGCCGAGTATAATTAGAAGATCGCTTAGCAACAGAAAATCATCTTATGGTCACTGTTAGAGAATTCTCTACTAACGTAGATAGTGACAGGGATGGTGTCACAGCAAAAGACTAGGTCCAATATACTGTCACTGCGCGCAGGTTCCTGGACGTATTGCCTCCAGCCATAGATATCTTGACCGTAAGTATCTCATCAAAGCGTTGTGGGCTGCAACCGGCCTCCCAGTTAACTTCACAGAAGTTAAAGTCATCCGCGATCAGTTTGAAGTCAACTGTGAGGGATCCAGCATGGGCCGATTATCAAGCCATCAGATTACCACTTTCTTTTCGGGAATACGGCGCTCTAAACAGACAACCTATGAGGATTTTGTAGGTAGTACCACTTACAATGATCTAAAGTGAGTCCGGCAGATCAGTGGAGATATCATCTTCAATCTTATTTGAGGCAGTAAGGTTACACACACTGATCAAACAGCCTCCACGACGCTTTTGATCACGATCAGTGCGATAAAAATCATGACCATGTGTGCGCAGGTCTACGTCTACGAGTGAGGTAGCACACCATGATTCCGTAACTGGTATAATTGTCTTTAATACCACCAAATCTTTTACTGAATTTGTGAAAAATTTGTATGCGAACATGTCCGATAGAACTTTTGCGATTGTTTTCAAAATTTCTTAGAAGGCTTCATTAGGTCACGGATCAGGTTAATATAAAAAAGGAAAATGTGGGAGAATATTCTTATTGCCGTTAGGGAAGAAAATTAGGAAGGGCAAAATATTCTGAATTGAATATAATCTTTTGCAAATATTTATTGCAATGCGCAGAAGAAAACCACTCAGAAACGTCATCATCATCATCGTCGTCGTGCCCGAATCTCTTTTCCTGTGTGTAAATGTAAATGCCGTCTGTTAAATTTTTTTTTGCTCACTCTTTTCGGGACTTTATTCCTGCTTATTTTCCTTGGCATCCATGTCATTCTTTTCATTTCTGTTTTTGATTTAGTGAATTGGGGGAATCGCCGTCACCAATCTCCCTCCTTTCTTTCTGATATTGTGGCTCCGGACGAATATGATTTATAGCACATATATTCGATACACATATCGCATACAAGAAAATATATAAAATTTCACGCTGAATGATTAGTTATCATAATTTAGATAGACAATGACTATATGAAGAGGTTTGGACGAGGAGATTAAATATACTTTTTTTGAATTTATTTATATATCCTTTATATTTTAATTTTGATTATTTCCCTGAAGAAGCTCGGACCAGACTTTCGTACAAAACGTTGGAATTATTTGATTTCAAACTCGCTGTGTCTTACACAAATCCGTCCATATGTAATTATCAAAATATGCGTTGCACTATGAGCAGACGACTCACAAAGAATTCTGATGGTAAACGTTTTTCTTTTTGAATTGTGTAAATTCCCTTCTAAACTTCGAACAGTCAGAAATATACTTGTAGACAGGCTGAATAGTTGGGAATCCCTCCTTGTAAGTTGCAGATTTGTGCATCTGTGTCAGGTTGTATGCAGCTGAAGAAAATCCTATAAAAGAAATAACGTCTTATCGTACGGATGCTGTTCTCATTGGGTTATTCAAATGGGTCGGACTGATCTAAATGCTGAACAGCATTTTCAATTTTTTTAGGACTGAGCTCTGCTGCGTACTCAGCTATTGGGTAGCCTTATGGTAGATCTCAGTGCAAGTGCAATTAAACGTCACAAACTCACTTTATTTCTTGAAAACATCCAACGATATTAATGAATCGAATCGATTATATGAAATCTATAGCATTCAAAGCACTGAGGTAGACAATGTAGAATGCACAATCATGACTCAGTTTATTTTTAAAACACTTAATCACCTAAATGTGCCAGTTTAATGTATGGAAAGAGGAAGACAAGTGAAGATAGCAGAGGATTCGAACTTCTCTATCAGCTGGGAATGCAAACATTCACGTGTAAATTAATGCACTGGAGTGGGAGCCATGCGTTAGTCATACGTATCGGAGGTTCGAAATCTATGATGCGTTGTCCAGATGTTGGATGCCCGAATTAATCAATAACAACTCGGTGAAGAATCCCACAATAATTAACTGTGGGAAGTACATATTTAGTGCCTACATAGCTCATAAATTTGAAATTTATTTTAGTTTCGTGAAAATTAGTACAAGATGAAGTCAAGTAGACAACTGGACTTTCATTTAATCGTTCGTAACAATCAGGCCTCTTATTACCACTGATAATCAGTTTGCCCTTTCTCCTCACTTTTTCCAGTGTCATAATCAAATTATTTTGATATTTGCTGCAAAGAAAATGAAGATTTTACCAATTTTCTGGTAATTATTACACAAAATTTGTTGATGTGCTGCTTATGCGTGCTTGGCAAAGTAATATTGTTTGTGTGTCATCTGTATCATTGAAATACACGAAACATGCTAATCAATAAGCCAAGGCCATTTGTTTGCGGTTTAAGAACCAATCATATTGATCTGATTGCTTAGTTACAGTTATCGACCGGCATAAAATATTGTTTCGCCAATCAGAAACCAGAATATTATTGAAAAATCTTCTTGACCTAATATAGTATGCAAAATTGTGTTGTTTCACCAGTTTTATGACTGTTGCCAATGTCGCACCATTCTTTCGGTTCTGGAAACAACCTCTACAGATTGGATAGCGTTTTCAATGAACGGGCAGGACCTAGGATGCCAGGAACACAGGTGAACGACGATATCGTCACCCTGTTGTACCAATCTCATCTACAGATGCACCTCACTATGCACAAGTAAGTTTGCTATTTATCTTAATCTTGTGTTTGAACACTGAAACATGGTGGGAAATGGGCAGATTCACCTAGAAAATAACCACCGATTTGTGTTACTTGTTTTTACGTTTAACAGTGTTCCTATCTCTAACCGAAAATTCTCTCCATGTTGACTTCGCACCACAACCAAGCCTTCTACAAACATGCATGAAGTTTCCACTATGGAGAGTGCGTAAACAAATGGCGGATGGTAGAGTCTGTGGAACACTGTGTATCACAGCAAAAGTTGTGCAAGCATCTATTTGGTGTCCTGTATCTATCACACAGGCTTATATTCGATTCCGTCTCACCATCTGCAAACCACGTTGCTAGATGTCTCACCACCTTACTGGTCTACACTAATCTAAATGAAAAAAAGTATTTTCAAATTTATTGCGCAACACTATTGTGAATAACTCAGTCTCTAAATCGCTCAGCCTCACTTCTCAGTTAACCTGTGAAATAAACGGTTCATATACTAGTATATACCATTAAATGATATCTTTGTGAAGGAAATCCACGAAATTTCCGCAGATAACACATTACTTTCTATGCTGTTACTCTAATCAAGTTTGACTGCTAGCCACTATCAACCAAAAGAACATCCAAGTGAGATATGACGCAAGGGTTATGTCTAAACTGTTCTCATCGATGGCGAATTTCCAGTTTCTGTTTACACCCAAGGGTAGTGTATCTGATTAAAAAGTTTAGGCCAAGTTAATTTCTTTCTATAGAAGGAATTCCTTGGGATTACTGTTCATACATAGATTCTAATGAAAAGTAACAGATAACCCTTACGTAACTGGAGACTTAGTGGTTAAAAGGTAAGTTAACATTGTGAATTCTTAGATGAGTTGTTTGATATGTGTGCATAACTGGGGAGAAACTTGATGGCTACAAATTTCGTAGCATAATCTTTCTTGAGAAATAATTATTATAACAGTAATGCAAAGAGTTGCTTCCGAATAGAAAATATTTTAGTGTTATAAAGCGAGCAGATTAGCAGGAAATCCTCAAACTGCTTTTCGCGCTTGTTGGCATTCATTAACAAGGAAGCTGGAGTCCCCTCTGTGATTAAAACCTGGTCTACTAAATAGTGAAGTCAGAGACTTAACCTTTAAGTTATTCTGGCCACTACTGATCGTAGTCTGTCGATCACTGCTAAGAACTAGACAACTAAACTGGTTATCCACTGATGATCAATTTATGTAAATAAATATCTTTCAATGAGTAGATACATTTATTTTCATCTTAACGAAATATATCTGGTCATCTGAAATTTTCAAAGTGAAATTCTATTGTAATGTTGAATGTGAAAAATGTTGTTATTAATAATTCACTTGCAGCCTACCTAAACTAGAAGTTGATCATCAAAAGTTTATGTACATTTGAGTCAGTGACTCAAGGGAAATGGATATTTCCACACAGCATTTTGGATGATAAGAAATAACTGTCATAAGATTAGACGGAAAAGAAATTTTTTGTTAGGTTTACATTTATTATAATGGATTGTTTTAAACCACCTATCAAGATTATTCTTGTGAATTATAGATCTTATTCACGCTTTCCTTTCTGAAAACACAAGTAGGTATTTTATGGTAAATAGGAAGCTGTGATGAAGTACACAATAAATATTTTATTGCACCATTAGTTGTTTAGGGAAAATCGAAGAGGTCCTATTCCTTACATTTAAAGTATCGGACCAGTGAATTCACACAAACTCTTAAATACAAAACGTGTTCATCTGTTTGGTGCTATGGTTGTTAATTAACGAATGACTTAAAAGGCCGCCCTGAAAATTGCTCAGATAGATGATTAACTCTTTGTTTAGTACATAACTCCCGACCCAGAAAAAATATTCAACACTGACTGATCACTTCTAAAATTGCTAAGATGGCCTTTATTATTATTTATTATATTATTTGTCCCTTGGGTTCCTAATGGAACATAGGGTTTCAGTAGCACGTCTCCAGTGCACTCTCTTCTCTTCAGTCTTTTGAACCTGGCTCCACGGCTGCCCAGAATCTCTCATTTCCTCCGCACACCATCTCCTCCATGTCACCCTCAGGTGGGACGCCCAACTTGTCGCCTCCCATCTGGGTTCCACTCGAGGGCCTTACGTGTGATGTCCCCAGTCGGCCTTCTCAGTGTATGCCCAATCCATCTCCACTTCCTTTTAGTGCATATTTGTCGAGCGATAGCTTCTTGGATGGGTTCGTTGACAGGCCAGAGTTCCTTGTTGCTTATTCTCATTATTCTGGCATTTGATCTTCAGTATCGGGTGAGCGTAGGCAGCAGCTGTTGATGAATGTCTGTAGTTTGTTTGGAATGCCTTTGGTAACCCGCCAAGTTTCTGAGCCATGCAGAAGCACTGAATTGACTGAATTGGTGTTGGAAATCCGGATCTTGTTCCACATGCTGAGTGCAGAAGATCTCAGCACTGGTTTCAGGTTAATGAACGCGTCTTGCTCTTCCGATCCTGGCTGGCTTTGACGTCCTCCTCTGTGCCACTGCCGCCTGCAGTTGAAACGATGCTGTCTAGATAGGTGAAAGACACAATTCCTTCAGATTCCTCCCGTTGATGGTGATCGGAGCTTGTTGTTGTTGTTTGTGGTGGTGGTGGTGTTGGTTGAATATCTTCGTCACCCCTATCTTCCCTACGTTCACCTGAAGTCCCGTCTTTGCTGCCCTGCCTCTTCTGTCAACTTGTTAGTTTTTACCTGTAGATGTTCAAGTTTGTGTGACATTAGACACAAGTCATCGGCGAAATCTAAATTTCTAGAATCTTTTCCCCGGTCCAACGTATCTCCCTCTTCTCGCTCCCCACTGTTTGTTTCATGATCCAGTCGACCACAACACAATCAGGAATATCATGGGTGGTAGTAGACAGCTTTGTCTTGTTTCACTCCTGTCTTCACTTCAAAGGCATCACTGAGCTTCTCACTGTGAATTACTTGGCATGTGGCGTCTTCATATAGTTGTTGGATGAGATCGATAAAGGTTTGTGGTATTCCGTAGTGTTGAAGCAGCTGCCTGCCAAATTACTTGTCGGTCGACGCTGTTGAAGGCCTTCTTAAAGTCGATGAAGTTGAGGTTGAGTTGACTGCCATTCTATGCTGTGTTCTATGATGATGCGTAGAGTGGCGTTGCAATTTGGCCCGCGCATGATTTGTACTTCCTGAATCCAGCAAGCCTGTTCCGGTCGTAGTTTCGAATCCAGCGCATCCTTTAGTCTCTCCAGGATGATGCGGCTTAATATTTTGCTTGGGGTGGACAGGGACAGGAGCATGATCCCACGCCAGTTCTTGCAAAGACTTGGGTCTCCGTTCTTTAAAACTTTGACAAGATAGCCCTTCTTCCAATCACTAATCAGGTACCTTCCCTTCCCTCCAGAACTTCTGCAATAGCGGTGTGGTGTCAGCATGTCCGCTGTTATCTCTGCGTCTGCTCTCAGTGCTCCTGGAGAGATTCCATCTGGTCCTGCTGCTTTCCCGCATTTCAGTAGCTTTATTGCATTGAGGACTTCGACTTTCGTCGGAGGGCTTGTGTTCACTGTTAATCCTGTGGGTGGGCTGCTGGTGGTATTTCTGGACGAGTTGTAGGTGGTGGTGGTGGCGGCCGATTGAAGAGCGTTTCGAAGTGGTCAGCCCATCGTTTCCTTTGTTTCTCCTCTTTGGTGATAATAACTAGGTTTCCTTCACTATCTGTCATTGGTTCCATCTGTGATGTGTTGATCTCTTCGCAGACAGCAAGTGACCTGGTTACTTGATACAATGTTGTTAGGTCTCTGTCTCTCCTACCTGCAGCCTGTTCTGCTTCACTTGACAATGTGTCGTAGAAGTGTCTTTTGTCTTTGCGTGCACTCTTCTTCACTTCTTTGTCCAGTGTTTTATGCATAGTACTCAGTTCCTCTTCTCGTTGTTCATACCTGCAGTGCACTGCACTGGTTCATCTTCTGCTTCACCATCCTCCTCTCCCTGCTCTATCAGCTTCCATGTGCCCGTCGAGATCCATTCCTTGTCTTGTCTTGTCTTCTTTCTTCTTCCTTCCTAATACGGTTATGCAGGTTTCTTTCCACATCTCTGTCACAGAGTTCCAGTGTTCCAGTGTTCTTCCACTCAGGTCTCTTCAGGGATGTTGCTCAATGTCTCTCATTTTGTCCTGATGACTGACTGACGTGAAGATTTTCTTTGTAGTTTTGTCTTTCAGTTGAGTTCAGTTTCTGTTCTGGGTGTTCAACTTGAACTGTGGCCGTCTATCAGCAACTTCTGTGAAGGCTTTCAACTTGATTCTGAAGGTAGGTTCCTTGCACTAGATAGTGAGTGGTGTGAACCTACATGTGCTCCCCTTCTTCATCTGATCTTGTGTTCAGTAGGCTGCGTCTCCACCTTTTTGAGATTGAGATGAAGTTGATGTGATTTTTAGTGTGTCCTGGTGTCTGGTGAAATCCATGTCGCTTTGTGGATATCCTTGTGCTTGAACACACTGTCTCCAATCACCAAGTCGTTGAATGCACAGAAGTCTGCAAACAGTTCTCCATTCTGGTTCATTTCACCGAGCGCTTCTCGACCCATGGTTAGTTCTCTTCCTGTGTTTTCAGCTCCCAGTTTGTCATTCATGTCGCGCATAAGAATTTTGATGTTGCCAACTGGAATGGAGTTTTGTCCAGTGTTGATTGCAGTTGTCTGTAGAATTCCTCCATCTTCTCTTGAACTTCGTTATTTGTGGGTGCTTAGCGTAGCATTGTGTGATTGTGACTTTCGTTCCCTCTGAGTTGAATCTTGCTGTCATGATCCTGATGTTGCAGGAGGAGATTGGTTCCTATTGCCTGAGAGCCTTCACTGCTCTTGGGGACATCATGATAGCCACTCTATAGCTCAGTGTGCTCGTGGTTGTCATCTGGGTGGGAATATCGAAGTAGATTATTGACTCTTTAGTTGACAGTTTGAAGAGTCCACTTCCATTCCATCTGCTTTCTCAGA